TTCTTCAAAGCATAAAAATTTGCTCCTTAATAATTAGTAGATGTGAAAATACTACCATTGAAATCTATCTACCTGATGACTTTATATCCATGTTCAGATGCCAAGGAGCTCAGAAACTGTGATCAGTAATAATCAGATATATAGAGATTAGAAACGCATGTGCAAACATCTTAATGTCAATTGCATTAAAAATGAATTTTTCTGTATAAAACTGTATTTTAATAATGAAATGAAGATCTTTTTTAAAAGTTAAAACCTCATTTAATTTTAGGTCTTGGAGGGTTTATACTGAATACAATATTGTATAACTGTAATAATTCTACTATAAACCTAAAAATCACAGCCAATTTTGAAAGAGGTGCATCTTAGCTCAGAAAATTGTTATTGAATATGTCAGCGCTGTTGTAATGAAATGCTTCTTCTAAGTATGTGGTTATTAAATAAACAATTAAAAAGTATTTTATTATTTTTATTTTATGTGTATGAGTGTATTGCCTGCATGTATGTGAGTGCACCCGTGTCATGCAATGCTATGGAGGTCACCAGAGGGCTTTGGATTCCCCTGGAACAGGAGTTAAGCATGGTTCATAGCCGCCATGTGGGTGCTGGATCGAACCCAGGTCCTCTGCAAGAGAAGTCTGTGCTTTTAACCACTGAGCCATCTCTCCAGTCCCCCATGTGTGCTACAAGCTCTCTAACGTCTATGATGGAAACTGTGTGGTAAATAGGAAATGTTTGTCATTTAACTATGCTAGCCCTATTAATAACAATAACTTTCTATACTACAATGAACACTATCATTTGGAAGTGGAAAAGGTGAGTCAGGGAAGGGCAGCTGCCTACCAGTGCAGAGTTGACTTTCAACTCAATGAGTTATAGAGTAAGGACTTGTCACTTTGTATTCAGAGAGGTTAATAACTTTATGCAGCCAATACTATGGGATCTAGATTGACAATCAAATGACAAGGAAAAAATTTGCAAATTAAGTAAATATTTTGTATGAAGAATGTTTAATTAATGTGGAATGATAGAAATTGATCTTGTGTAATTTGCTGTATATGTATTAAACTACCCTACAGTGATACTGTTTTATTCATTTAATATAATGTGGTTAAAAGCATATTAACATTTCAGACAGGAAAGAAAGAAAATTATTAGTTCAGTGGTACTAATAAGAACTTGGATGCTGTGTGCTTTAATAAAAAATTCAATGAATCTAGACTATTTTACTATACTTCACTTTGCACATTGGACAGTGTATTCATACTGAGTAGTGTTTAACAAAAAATTCTTCAATCTCCCCCAAGCTAGAAGCCATCATTAACAGAGACAATGGTCATCTTCCAGGAGCTAGCAAACAGCATTACTAACCATTTAGCATTGTGTTGCTGTATATGGAAATGTTAGTCTTAAGTGGCCATAGCAAAATAAAGTTTGAAAAGAAACCGGTTATTCGGCCACATTAGGCACAGTCTCAAGTGCTCAATAATTACACATGGCTAGAGACTCCTGTGGGTGACATCATTGATGTAGAAGTTCTGCTTCCATGCAGAAAGCTCTATTGGAGGATAATATTCTAAGAACGTTAGGTATTATATCTGGTGTGGAATAGAGATTTCAAAATGGCTTAAGGGTTCATAATCTGCCATGATGATTCAGAGCTAGAAAAAGTCTTAAAGATTCAAATTTGCCTGTCATAGTGGCACACACCTTTAATTCCAGCACTTGGGAGGTAGAGGCAGGCAGATCTCTATGAGATTAGGGTCAATCTGGCCTCCATAGTGATTTCTAGACCAGCTGGGACTACAGGGAGACTGTGTCTCAAAAAGACATAAATAAATAAAATAAATAAAAAATAAAAAAACAAAGGATTCTTCTTCATTTTATAGAAGAGGAAACTGAGGTCTAGAGAAGGTCATATAGCTAATTTGTAGCAGATTAGAATACAAATTTCCTGATTTTGAAGCAGATTTCGTACCTATTCCATGTTCTTGGTAATATGTCTAGGATATTTTCCTGGTTGCTTTATTAGCCCATGGCCATCTTTCACCAGTATCACTAGCTCTACACCAGTGACCAGATGTTCCTATCATCTCTGTCTGAACACTCCGGTATTTTAGAGAGGAAAAAAAAAAAGCTCAAGGAGAATGTTGGATAGGGTCAGTGATGGAGAGGTAGTATGAAATTATCAAAGTAAATACCTAGTTCCAGAATTAAGAGTAAACATTCTAGGTGACCTATAAATATTTAACTAAAGTTATACATCTGGGCCTCAAAGAAGCAGGCTTTTCCTTGGCATTTACAATTAAAATGGATTAATCCCCTAACGATATTAATACTAACCATTTTAAATGATAAACATATCCCATGGTATTCCACTGTAAGTATTAATGTTTAGGAACACATTACTCACTGGCTAGTCAACTCCTGGCAAAAACACAATGCTCTCTCGATTCTTAGTGTACACTAATGGTATTGCATCAGTGAGGGCTTTGTCTGGTACTATAAAGGAAATGGTCATGTTTATAAAGGTCAGTTAGGCTGTACCCAAGAGGTCTGGCAGCAGTGTCTCATTTGAGTGGGTCCTGGAACTCACTATGTAGACCAGGCTGGCCTTGAACTCACAGAGATCTGCCTACCTCTGCCTCCTGAGTGCTGGGATTAAAGGTGTGCGCCACCACGCTTGGCTGACTTTTAAGATTTTTTACAAATTGAAGCTGAATATAAACAGCTTAAAAAAGATATATATATATATATATATATTTGTGAATAGACGTGTAATATAACGTGGACCTGGAGGGTCTGCCATTTAGAATTTGTATCACCTATAGGAAAATATATCAGGCTGGGCGTGGTGGTGCACCCCTTTAATCCCAGCACTTGGGAGGCAGAGGCAGGTGGATCTCTGTGAGTTTCAGGCCAGCCTGGTTTACATAGTGAATTTCCAGGCCAGGCAGGGCTATATAATGAGACCCTGTCTAAAAACAAAACAAAAAAGAATCTGCTACTGGAAGAATGGGGGAAGACAGAACTGAGTTGCAGTTTCTTTTTTTCTTTCTTTTTTTTTTTTTTTTTTTTTTTTTTTTTTTTTTTTGTCTTTTTGAAACACGGTCTCCCTGTAGCCCTAGCTGTCCTGGAACTCACTATGTAGACCAGGCTGGCCTTGAATTCACAGAAATCCACCTGCCTCTGCCTCCCAAGTGCTGGGACTAGGCGTGCACCACCATGCCGGGCTGAGATGCAGTTTCTTAAAAATAGAAGATAATGGTGGACAGTTTAAAACACGTAGTTTGTTCTTGGGCAAAAACATACATTTCTTTGACATTTGTGAATATTCTTGACACACTTTGAAATTTTATTATCTACCTTTTTGTTTGGTGTTGCATTCTTTGTACTAAATTATTATCCCAGCACTCAGGAGGCAGAGGCAGGTGGATATCTGTGAGTTCAAGGCCAGCCTGGTCTACACAGTGAATTCCAGGACAGCTGGGGCTACAGGGAGACCCTGTCTCAAAAAAGACAAAAAATAAAAATAAAAAATAAATAAATAAAAGATATTTTCTCTCATTTAACATTGCTTTCTTCTCTTTAAGTGTTTCTTTCATATAGCAGAAGTCTTTAGTCATAATAAATTGCCTGTTAATTGTTTTAAAATAAAGTATGAAAGCAGGACTTGCCAGGCTGTAGCTCTGAGACAAGTGCTGGCCTACAAGTGTGTAGGTAGGTCCTCACCTGCCTGGACAACTCAGACCCTTGAGAGCATGGGGGGAAGGGGCTTCCAGTCAATTCTGCCAGAACCAATTTGTCCTTGTCTTGCCAATCAAGTCATACAAAAGACATCAATAATACACCTGTGAAAGCTGATATGCATGGTTCTCAGAATTCTCAGGTGTAGGCAAGAAGACAGACTTTTTGGTCAGCCTGGAATAATATATGAGACCTGTCTCTCTTTAACAAAGGTTAAATTAAAAAAATTTTTCAATACTGGGAGTCATTTAAGATAGCCAAACAGGTAAAGGTATTTGCAAAACAAGCCTAGAGCAAGATTTCAATCCCTGGACCCATATAAAAGCAGGAAAAGAGGCCGGGTGTGATGGTACATGCCTTTAGTCCCAGCTGGGAGGCAGAG